ATATATATATATTCCTTTATTATAATTTTATCATATAGACAAAACCATTTTACTCGATACAAAGATGCAACTTGGTTTCAGTGCATTTCAACTGCACATCGACGGGTGAGAATCGAAAATGGTTATGAACAATCCTGCTTGTAGTGAGGAAAATGGTTTTGTCTATATGATAAAATTATAATAAATAAATAATTATCGCTCTACTATCGGTATCAAGCCCTCTTTTGGATTAATGCTGTGAACGTTGAAATTTATATATTACTTTCATTCTCATTGCAGCGGAGATATATATATATATATATATATATATATATATATATATATATATATACTTATACACACTTACACACATTATACTCACTCACTCCCTGAGCCAAATGATAACACACACCCACAGCAATACACACGCTTACTCACTCACTCCCTAAGAACCAAATAACACACACAAACACTAAACAGAGACACATCCCCTCTCCAGGAACAATAAAACTGTCAAAATGACCAGGGAATTCAGAGAAGTATAGATCCATCCAGCTCTTATCTCAAATAACAACTTAAAAGAGACTGTTTGACCAACACAAGGAATGTTAAAAGATTCATGTTAAAAAGATAAAAAAATAAAAAAAAAACAAATGAAAACTACAGACAAAAGTTCATTTTCTCCAGCAAGACATTCATTTCTGTAGTTTAGTGCTACCAGCAAGCAGAAATATTCTCCTCCAGATGATTGTCATTTCGGCCGAAACTAGTCGAGGGATCTAAATGAAATAATAAAAAAAATGAAAGAATATTAGTCTACAACCCAGTGTGTCTGAAGATTTTAATTTTTTGATATTTTTTTTATTGTTCAATATATATATATATATATATATATATATATTAAACAACATTACAGGCATTGAAACCATCCTAACAAACATACAACTTAGGTGGGCTGGTTACGTTGTGAGAACAAATGAGAAAAATATGAAGGACTTAGCATGATTTTGTCAATGAGGTAATTTGATGTGATATATATTTAACTATATATTTGCTTGATTGGTCAGGACTCAGGTGAATCGACTCTCTCTTACAACCTTTTTCATCTTTTCATCCTAGTCTCATAAAATCACCTGACTGGCTATGAAGATCTGTTAGTCCAGAGAATAGTTAACTGGGAGAATTAAAATTGCCCTCTGGTTGAACCCCATTGGTTCACCAATGGTGTGAGCAGAGGTTGAAGATTTCTCGTCCGAAATATCTTTTAAATTGAATCAGTTTTATTTTGATTAAATGAAACATTATCAGACATTATTATTAATTTTTACTTGTATTTACTTTCATCATTATTATTACACTTTTATTTTCAAAAACCTGTAAATTGTCAGTCCTTGCCTGTAATCTCAGCTTCTGCCCAAACCCTTGACATAGTCATAGCTATTGCCTTTACTATAAATATTTACTTGGTAATTGTTCTGTTGAGCTTTCCTCTTTCGTATCTTGAATTTAAACACAGTACTTGATTGGTAGATAGGTCTCAGAATTTCACTATTGAAATTTCTAGATGTAACCCTATTTACTCTGCTAATGGTTTCATCTTGGACACATCTCGCTTGTGGAACTCTCTTCCAGCTTCTTGCTTTCCAGTTAACGTTGATTTTCAAAAATTTAGATCCAATGTCAATCCTTATCTTCTTAATTCCTGTTCTTTTATTGTTCTCTCTCCTTAATAATGTTTTTCTTTTTTTTTTTTTTCATGCTTGTATCTTAGTGGCTTTATTGCCTTTAATGATTTAAAATTAAGAAAAAATTCTCTACGGATCAGAAATATTGCCTTATGATGACTCCTTATATGGTAGACTATAATTGCTAAAATTAGTTTTTCAAGAAAATAATTTCCATTCAGGTTAAAATATAAACAGGGTTTACTTGTGCTTTTTTTTTTTTTTTTTGTATAAACTAATATATTCAGTTTCTTTGCTCTTACATATTTACTATTGTTATTCTCTATTGATTTTGTTATTTTTACATCATTCAGACTATTATTTGAAATCTGTATGTGTGTGTGTGTGTATGTATATATATATATATATATATATATATATATACATGTATATATATATATATATATATATATATATATGTATGTATATATATATATATATATACATGTATGTATATATATATATATATATATATGTATGTATATATATATATATATATATATATACATGTATATATATATATATATATATATATACATGTATGTATATATATATATATATACATACATGTATGTATGTATATATATATATATATATATATATATATATATACATGTATGTATATATATATATATATATATATATATATATACATGTATGTATGCTTTTTATAATAAATCCTATTTTTAGCATCTTTTCTCATGTTGATTCAATTTTGTCAAAAAACCTACCAATATATAATCCTATTATAATTGTGCTTGTCTTGCCCTTCCTTAGTTTGTATGACTGTTACTCCCTGCCAATACCTCAAAAAATAATAGACTATTTCATTTTGCAAAGAAGAAAAAAAGATACTACCTGGTTTCAGTGAGAAAATGAATGAATAAAAGAAAGAAATGTTTAACATTTGTTTCAGTGAAATGGAATAAAGTTGTCAATTTCAAATCTTTTCATTTGTACCCCCTTACTTCTTAAAATAACAAGCAGCATTTAAATTTATGATTGTTATAACAATATGTTGTTAAAGTTGTTAAGCTCATGGTCTTTCCTCTTAATAATAGCATTAAACATTTTGACGATAAAAGTTTGTTTTAATCAAGTTTGGGGCCTTTTTTTCATCATGCTATAGTCTTTTTTCAATGAATTATTGGAGGTAACTAAGATAAGAGAATTAATATGGATATTTTATTGCCGTAGAACTCATGAGCTCATTCAATCATTAACTTAAGAATTAAAATTCATCAGTATATTAAAATAAGGAAACTGAAATTTTCACACGGGTATTATTAATTTTATTAACAATATTATTTTTGTTCTTTTTTTCCCTCTCAAATTTCTTTATATATATATACATACATATATATATATGAGAGAGAGGAGGAGGCATGGTAGAGTTATGGATAGCGGCTCGGAATGAAGAATAGGAGAGCTGAGTTCAAATTCCAACGGATCCATTACATTCACTTTCCTGTTAATACCCTTGTGAAAGGTATGAATCATCTTTTCAATGCTATGGGTAAATAGCAGGACAGACTGGGTTCTATAGCCTTGGATCGCAACTGGTCTACTGCAGAAAGAAATTACAACCTGCTGCGGGAAAAAGGAGTAATAGATAGCGGCTCAGGTTGAGGAATCAGAGAGCCGAGTTTGAATTCCAGTTGAAACCCTTACATTCACTTACATGCTAATACCCTTAGGAAAGGTAGAAATCCTCTTCTCCCCTAGTTATGGGTAAATAGCAGGACAGACTGGGTTCTATAGCCTTGGATGGCAACTAGTCTAGGAGAAAGACAACTTTGAATTTAAAACCAGCGGAGGGTCATTTGGGGACCTTGTGGCACATAGTGCAACAGGTTTCTGTATTCGGCCCTTCAAAAAGTGTAGTTGGTTCTGCACAAAACCTTCACCACTATACTCAAATCATATGTGCTGGAGTCTGGTTGTCGGTTCCTAGGAACTGAGCCACTTGACCCTTATACAACAGGAGAGTCCACCATATATATATATATATATATATATATATGGGCAGCAACCTTTCTTTTAAACATCTTTCATTAAATACGGCACACAAGGAAGATTTAATTAATTTTTATTTAGTTTTTCCAGCATCCTTAAGTTTTTTTTTCATTTAGTAGGAGTAACGGAGTACAGAATTTTCCATAATTTTCATTGTTCCAAGCATTTTTGATCACTTCTTTAGTCATTTTCAATGTTTTTTGTTTATGTTGTTAGTTTTTCCTCATGTTTTGACAAACTCAGAACATGAAAAACATTATCCTAAAGGGAGCTCTAGATATGGTAAAAGATTATTGTCTCTAAGATGTCCTTATTAAATGGGATTGTTTAATAATTTCTTGGTTCCAGGTATTGAACCCTGTCCCTCACCATTTGCATTCTGACATGTGCTATTACTACATATACTGAAGATAACACCGCTTAATATAATGACTTTTATTCTCTCTCCTTCACCTTGCCTTTAGCTTCAGTAATACTTGGTTTAGTAAACTTGAGTATTTTTCTGTCTTGTTCTGTCAAGAAGAAAAAAAAAATCCAAATTTGCTCCTGTTGATCTGAAATAATCAATAGCAATGTTGGTTGTGAGATTCTGTTCACTTTAGCGTCACGTACAGCAGAAGATGTTCAGTTCTGTAAAAATACATTCATTTTTTTTTTTTTTTTTTTTACAGGAAATGAATGCTAAGTGGGATTTTTTGCAGTGGAAGCATCATCTTTTCGTTAACAAATTTGTGTCATGTAATCTGTGCATTTGTGTGTACACAAGCAGAACGCGTTTAGTTTTCAATTTTTGTAAGTAAAGGCAGGTGCCTTATAACTAAAATTGGTTTCTTTTTTTTTTTTTTCTCTCTCTCTCTGCACAAATTTCAAAGCAAACTGAATTTTCTCTGAAACTATAATTTTTTTGACTCTTTCATGAAGTTTACACAATATTTTTTTTAGCACATCAACTGTAATATAGTGGTCATATAAAGTTTTCCAAAGTATTTGGTAATTGCTAACATTATTCAGTATTGGGCCATCGTCATAATTTTTCAGCATTTGGTTACTACTGATATGTTTGCAAGGTATCTGGTCAGAGATATTGTTTTTTTTTGTTTTGTTTTGTTTCTTTGCAAGGTATCTGCTTGTACTTAATGGTTTTTACAAGGCCTCTGGTCATAGCTAACATTTTTTTAGCAAGGTCTCTGGTTGTAGCTAATGTTATTTTGCAAGGTCTCTGATCATTACTGATGTTTTTACAAGATCTTTCTATGTTTAAGTCCTTTACATGCCAGAAGGATGTCTGACAAGTGTTGGAACCTTGCCCAATGGTGACCTGGAACTGTGTAAGGTAGCAAGTGTTATCTTGAAGCAGTTCAAATACAATACTTGCACACAACACATTTTCAATAACAAATTTGGGAAATTTAAGAGATTCGGTTTTGGTTTGGTTTGGTTTGGTTTGGTTTGGTTTGTTTTGTTTTATGGCATATCAACCTCAATGGGTCATTTAATGCTGACATTTTGGTTTTGTCAAAATCTATTTCTGTTAATATTTTTTCTCAAAAATGTATAGCTGGTAATATTTTTTTTTCAAAAACGTATAGCTGGTAACATTATTTTTTCAAAATTGCTGGTGTTCCCAGGTCCACCCTGACCTGGAGTGGTAGCACCTTTTAGGGTTCCAACTATGGGCAAATAGTTAGCCCCAAACTGGATCAAAACACTATGAAAGTGTAAAAATAGATTTTAATACCAGCAATACATTCTTGAAAAAAATATTGCCAGCAATAAATAACCCATTACGGTTGATATGCCATAAAACAAAACATTCTACAAAAAATAATGCCTGAATTTTTAGATGAAAACCAAATTATTTCATTTTGACTAGTATTTTTTTCATCTTAAAAAACAAAACAAACTAATAGTCTTAAGTTGTCTGAATTTCTTAGATGAAGCCTTGGCAATTATTATTCATTTTGACTAGTATTTCTTTTTCATCTTATTTTCTTGCTTTTCCACCAAGTAGTAATAGTCTTAAGTTGTTTGAATATCTTAGATGAAGCCTTGGCAATTATTATTTTAACTAGAATTTGGTTCTAATTGTGATTGAAAGCTGCTGATAATTCAGATGAAAGAAATATTTGTTAAAATGAATAAAAGAAATGTTAATTGGACAACAAGAAAAATGCTGTTAATTAGAATATAATGTAAATATGAGTTCATAATGAAAATAATGAAACCTGATAGTAGAAGGAAGTTGGGGTGTGTCAATTAATGAGTCTTGAATCCTGCATATTTAACATTACATTTTATTCACTCTGGTACTTTGACAATTCCCATTCGCCATTATGTATATGTGCAGCCCTCAACTGAACATGAGCCTTACATTCTCATCCATCAATGTGTGTGAGACTCCCCAGTTCATCCCTGTTGGAGTTTATATATCCATCTGCCTAGTGGTTTATCTTATACCAATAGATCACTATCACATGTCAAAATAAGTTCCCTGAGTTGTCTTATCTGATTATTACCCTTTGGATTTCAAAGTATTGACTAAAAACTGAAGGTTGTCTGCCTTTTTCAAAACTAATTTGCTAGTTTACTTTAGGGCAGGAGATCTTTTTCTTCCTGAAGGGTTTTATCCTATATTCAATAATAAAAATAATTATGAAATTAACCAATTACTCTATTTACATCCTTGTTACCATATTTATTACAACATTTCGACCGTTGCATGCTCAGGCCTTCTTCAGGTGGTTGGAATCCCGATATGAGCTCTGGAAAAAGACATGCAATGATAACAGCAAAAATTGCAATATGAGCACTCGTAAAAAGGGTTGCTGAAGACATTAGGTTTATAATACCCAGAAATTCATACACAGATGTCCTCAAGGACACATGGCACAGTGGATAAAGGTGTTACATCCAGTGACAGGACCCAAAGACAGTGGAGAACTTGGAGAGGGGAATTAACAAGAGATAACTGATAATCGACATCCATTAAACATGGCATGTGGATCTAGAACAGTCTACCCCAGTGAGCGAAATAAAGGGTTCAGTTTGACATTCCAACCACCTGGAGAAGTCCGGAGTGTACAACAGCTGGAACGTTGTAATAAATATGGCGACAAAGATGAGGACAATAGTCCGAATAATGTAAATAGTGTACATAATACCTCATCTCAGAAATATAGACAGATAACCAGTTACTGCATAATGTTTGCTTAAAAAAATCTTCTTTGCTGGCTATTGTAATCTTAGGGCCATCAAATTTAAAATATTAAGTAACCTTCTCTATTAAAAAAAAAAATCTCCATGCAGTAATGGTTAAAAAAAATAGTTTTAGCATCTGACCTTAGTAGGATTTAAGTAAACTAAAGAAGGCCTGAAACTTGCTATTTAATAAATCAGGTAGGTGCCCCAGACTTTTTGCCACTTTTGTGTGTATGACATTTCTTTGCTTAGTTTGGTTATTAAGTACGTTATCCCCGCCCCCCCCCACTTACTATGACCTATAGACTATTTTGACCTAGTAGCACCATTTAATGCAGGACAACAATTCTGCTCATTTTTCATATATATATATATATATATATATATATATATATATATATATTCAACATAGGCTATATTTATAGGCTAAAGTGCTCAATATTAGGGATAGCGCATATGTAAATATCAAATTTGACATTGACGTCAGCACTTAGTGGCAAAAGTCTGTTTTATGTTTAAATGCAATCATCAAGCCATATATATATATATATATATATATATATATATATATATAATCTCCAGGCAAGATTCTAGGTTCACTTGCCAGTAATTTACAATTACCTGATGAGATGCATTATATGTGCATGAAAACACTACTGCAATTGTATAGCGATTTGGACATGTTTTCAATGTCCTAAAATAAAATTATATATAATCAGAAAATTTTTTGTGTGTGTGTATATATATATATATATATATATATATATATATATATATATATAATAAGATAAGTTCATATATATAATTTCTATTTTCTGAAGCTTAACTAAAATGGTAATAAGTTAATAAACATTTCCTGTTTGTTCCTTATCCTATCATTTTGTCAGATTCTCATCCATATCTGATGCAAATTATCACACACATCTTATTGGCAGGCGCAATTTTTCTAAGGTAGAAATTCTTGATCAAGTATGTTTATTAATTTTACCGTTTAAGAAAATAAAAAAAAAGATACCAACTCCAACAAGAATACCTATAAATATAGTTATAAAAAAATGTGTGCTTGTGTGTGTCGGTATCATGCTAAATTTCACCATCTGTTACCATTGTGTTTTTTGCAAATAGTCATGTAGGATTTTTTTTTTTTTAATCAATTTCCCAGTTGGTAATAGGAAAATATTTGGCTGGTAAATATAACACTTGGCAAAAGATAACGTTTGTTTCTTTTTTTTTTTTTTTTTTTTTGATATTTGACTTTGCCAGCAGCCAGTGCATCTCTAGCTTCTCTCTAAAGATGTATAATAAATAATTAAACCACAAATCCATTAACTGCTGATCTGGATCTATTATTGTATCCGCAAAAACCATGTTCCCAGTACACCTCAAATAACACGTTATTTTATGACTTAGATCAGGGGTTCTCAAAGTTTTTGAAGTCGGGGCGCACTTGAAATACTACCAATAATTGTAGGTGCACTATATACAAATTTCGGAAATATATGTTATAATGAAGTCAAATATTGCAGAAAATAAATAATGAAATAAAAAAAAAATATATATAAAATGAAACATGCCTAAGTATATTCATTCTTTGTTTATTAGAAACTGATGAGTCTTAGTGATTTCTTCAATGTTTGGATGTGTATTTGATAGGCAAACTCTCATTTTCTCCTGAATACATTGAAGAGTTCTTCTCTTTTTGCACTTAATTGTGTTGAGAGTAGAAAAACCTAATTCATATAAATATGATTGAGATGTATACCGCAATATAATAAAGTAAATATATTTATTTCTTATATCTGGACATATATTTCACTGGAATGCCAGGGAGCACCATTTAAGAATCACTGGCTTAGATTCTTCGGGTGGAATTGTTTCAACTTTTTTTTTTTTTTCTTTATTTTTTTTTTTTTTTTTCTTTTTTTACTTGTGCAACTAATTTTTTTTATTAGTTTCAAAAAAAAAAAAAAAAAAGAAAGAAATTACTATCACCCACCTTCTTAATCTTTCTGTACATGTGCGAATCTTGGCTGATTGCAGCATAAAATCCAAACATTACCAATAAAATGCTACAGTATCATATGTGGCATCTCTTACATATATCGGATCATGAATGATGCAGTGTAAGACAAACTTGGATCTTCCTATCCGCAAAAACAAATGGGGTGTCAAAAGGATGGTCTTACCCCTGACACACTATTAACGACCTTCACTTCTTGTCAATGTTTATTGTTTTAAAAAGAGATGATTAGGATTGTAATAGTAATTTTCCAATTGTAGCTTAGATGTGGCACAAGGTCGAATGTAGGGGGCACCCAGTGAGGATCGAACTCACTACTCAGTCGTAATTGTTCTAGCGAGACAAGCATGCTAACCTTTACACCACCTCGTGGTGCCCCAAATGATTTTCCATGCGTAGCTTAGATTTGGCACAAGGCCGAAAGTAGAGGGCACCTAGTGAGGATCGAACTCACTACTCAGTCGTAATTATCTAGCGAGACAAGCTTGATAACCATTACACCGCCTCGAGGTACACCAAATGATTTTCTAAGGGTAGCTTAGATGTGGCACAAGGCCGAAAGTAGGGGGCATCCAGTGAGGATCGAAATCACTGCTCAGTCGTAATTGTTCTATCGAGACAAGCTTGTTAACCATTACACCACCTTGAGGTGCCCCAAATGATTTTGCAAGTGAAGCTAAGATGTGGCACAAGAATGAAAGTAGGGGGCACCCAGTGAGGATCGAACTCACTACTCAGTAAGAAATTGTTCTATTGAGACATTAGTTTTTTAGCTATTACACTGCCTCGAGGTGCCCAATTAGAATTGTAATAAAACCTAAACATATGATGAAAGTGGATTTATACATTTTTTTTGAGATTTTACAACAAAATTATTAACACTATTTATGTATTAGATTGAACTCACAACTCTTTGAGTCCTGTCACTGGATCTAACCAATGCCTTTATTCACTGTGTCATGTGTCCGAAAGGATATGGGATAGTTCAATATCTGGTTAAAGCCGTGGAGAATTTGGAGAGGTGAATTAACAGGAGATAACTGATAAATGACATCCATTAGACATGGCACATGGATCTCGTACAGTCTGTCCCAGTGAGCAAATTAAAGGGTTCAGTTCAACATTGCAGCCACCTGAAGAAGGCCAGAGTGTACAACAGTCGAAATGTTGTGATAAGTATGGCAACAAAGATGAGGACAATCGTTTGACTAATGTAAATAGTGAACAAAGAAAATATATAGATTCAGTTTCATCATATATTTAGGTTTTATTACAATTCTAATCATTGCTTTTTAAAACAATAAATATTGCCGAGGTAGTTAAAATAATAGTGGTGTCAAGGGAAAAACTGTCATTTTCGTACTCCAGGTTTTTATTGCAGGCGGAAAGATCCAAGTTTGCCACAGGCCTATTCATTAGAAGACCTCGTAAATACCATCAAGAAGATAAAATTGAAATGTCATGGACACGTCATCAGAGCCAATAATTTTTACCCTCCCCATCCTACAAGATATCACCTTTGGTAAAAGAACCAGTCAAAGGGAAAAAATGCGCTGACTCTGTCACTGAGTGGACTGAAATATTGTTCACATAGATACAGACATTGGCATGCAACCAAGACTTGTGTTGGGCTCTAATCAGGTGCTCATCTGTGACCTCACCCAGTCATAAGACTGATGATGAATCATAACTTTGGCTTGTGCATAGTAAAAAAAAAAATACTGTCATAATAGTGGAAATATCTCTATCTATAAAGGCAGGATGTATGACATGTAATTTTGAATGCACGGCTACAATTTTACAAAAATACTTTAATGTCTTTTTGCACCAAAATTTACATGCACATGCTCCAATTTCAAGCGGGAAGGCAAAGAAAGTGATGTCTTTGCATTTCCCAACCCCATCGAAGTGGAAATAATAAATTTTTCATGTGGCAGTTTTCATGTACTTTGCGCCATTTTGTACAATAAAAAAGTGAGAGCTAATAGCTGGCTGCCAATGAATAGGCAGGAGGATTCTATTTGCCAAATGAGAGCCAACAGCTGACTGACACTTAATGTTAACTAGCATGCTAGCAGACAAAAAACAAAATAGCTTCATTCATAACAAGTGGGAAAAATTTAAATCTGCATGGCACTTTACTCCAATTGGCTCATTGTTTATTTAAACTCAACGTTGATTCTGATTCCACAGAACTGGGTTGGGTGTGAAAAAGTATTTGTTGTTAACATTTTTTTTTTCGATCCTGTTTTTCCAGATACGAAGTCCTCTTTTTTAAAGCTGATCGCTTTGTGTTCATTTTGTTTAGTTCTTTTTCGAATAGAATTTTAATGTTTAGTATAGAGCTTAGAAAAAATTAGCAGTGTGAGATAGGCAAGAAGTAAGGCATGTAGCAACATCAGCATGGTAAAGGGCACTCCTTTAAAGGCAAGGAAGGGCAAAAATATTTTAAGTCAAGTGATAGCGATTGCTGTATGAGTTGTACGATTTTTGAATCAAGCACAGGCAACGCCGGGCAATGCTGCTAGTAGTAAATAAAAAGTATTACTCAGTGAATTATTATCAATGAAATATGACTTATTTAAGATACATTTGTTTTGTTTTAAGTGCCATATCCCTTCTGGATGTTGGTGATCATGGCTCTCCACATCTACTTGACTTTTACAGCCTTAAGCAATGTTTGACACCTTTGCATACCTCTTTCTCTCCAATCTGCCATTCATTCACATAAACTCATTAGATAGGTTACTTGTTTTCATTCTGCTCCTCGATATGTCCTGTGAGTGTTAAATTTTTCAAGCCCTCTTTCCTCATAATGTGTTACAGAAATTTCAACAGTCCCTGATTTTACAGCAAATTGCCCACCTATTTAAAAATAAACATTGTATATATTTGAACTCTGATTTTGATACAGTAATTACATTATTTGGACTATTGTCCTCTTCTTTGTTGCCATGCTTATCACAATGTTTCGACCGGTGTACGCTCTGGCCTTCTTCAGGTGGTTGGAATGTCGATACGAGCTCTGGTAAAAAAAAAAAAACATGCAACAGTAGAAATTGCAATATGAGCACTGGTAAAAATGGTTGCTAAAGACATTATGTTTATGATATCCAGAAATTCATACACAGATGTCTTCAAAGACACATGGCACAATAGATAAAGGCATTAATTAGACAGTTACAGGACCCAAAGAGTGTGAGTTCAATACCTGGTTAAGGCAGTGGAGAACTTTGAAAGGGGAATTAACAGGAGATAACTGACATCCATTAGACTTGGCACATGGAACTAGAACAGTCTACTCCAGTGAGTGAAATAAAGGGTTCAGTTTGGCCAAAACATTTCTCCTCGTCTCTCCTGATTGTTATTTTTCACCCTTTCCTTTCTTAACAGTTTTTCTATCCACTCCCCTCTTAACTGTTTTTCCCATCATCATTTCTTAACTGTTTTTACATTATTCTCCTCTGTTAACTATTTTTCTCCTCATCCCGTCACTCTTGTTCTCCTCTTGTCCCTTCGCTCTTGTTCTTCTTGTGTCCCTTCAATCTTTTCCTCCTCCTTCC